CTTTGGATTTCACCACCGTCTGGACTTCATCCAAAGTAATAGTACCTTCCTTACCATAAAGAAGGGCATCCTTAAAGTGATCAAAGGATCTGGGTAATGAACTCAATTGGAGCAAAGCCTTTTCCTCATCATCAATCTTCACTTCAATATTTTCAAGATCATTGATAATCTTGTGAAATTCTATGAGCTGCTCAACTATGGATTTGTTGTCCACTATTCGGAATGAGTAGAGTTGTTGTTTCAGATACAACCTGTGAGCCAAAGACTTTGTCATATACAGTGATTTAAGTTTTACCCACATAGCAACCGCAGTTTGCTTCCTGGCAACTTCTCTTAGAACTTTATCCCCGAGGCACAAGATAATAACACTCCTGGCCTTATCTACCATCTCAGTCTTCTGTACTTGTGTAAGCCCTGCAGGCATAAATGCTTCACTCTTCAAAGCATCGATACACTTCTCTTGAATTAAAATTGCTTGCATCTTAATTTTCCAAAATCCGAAGTCGTTGTTACTGGAAAATTTCTCGATCTGCCATCTACTAACCATGTGCTAACTTGTCAACAATATCTCTTTACTCCATGCTCACCGCACCATTTGTTGTGAATCTTGTTGTGAATTACGACAAAATTCAATATTAATTTGTGAGGCAAATAACAATAGAAACCAAAATAAATGGTCTTCAGCAATAATAATCCGTACACAGATGATATAACAGAATAAAGCAAGAAAAAACCGAAAGTTTGTTTACCCAGTTCGATCAAACGAACTACTCTGGGGGAGAGAGCAACTCTCTAATTCATTATACTCAGAAAGTTGTTACAAGAGATTACAAATGAGTTACAAGAAAAAGCCTTCGCCTTCAGGTTCCCAAGAACAACCCTAAAGGCGCCCAAGAACAACCCTATTTTCTACCCAAGTGTTTCCCTACCTCTCAAACTCTCAATATATGAATCACTCAAATCCAAGGTGTAATCCAAGGTTTTCTTTGTGCATAGTTGAAATCCTATGCTATACCTTTAAACCCTTGGTCTTCCTTGTTGGTGAAAACTCTAAGATTGCCACACACCAAACATATAAGAGATACATATCTATAATAGCAAATACGTAATAAACAAAGCCCAAAATCACATGGATCCATGGATCGAATCGAAAAATATCCTGAAAACTCGAAAATATTATTCATCGTACAGACAACACTATTCACCATACGGGCGTCATTATTCATCCATACGGATATCATTATTCACCGACCGATATCTTTTTTTCTCGACTTTTCATTCGACTAAAACTTCTAATTTTTGCGGTAAATGCAATCTCCAAAATATGTTTTCTTTCTCTTCATCAACAAAGGTTTTTAGCCACATTTACAACAAGAAGCATAATGAAAGGATTACCTCTTGAAGTTTTCCGGATTTCGCTTCTTTTTGGCAAAATTTCAACATGCACTGAAGCAAATCTCGGCTCTGTAGGTAAGTTTTGAACTTTCACCACTTCCATGCCATTGCATGAATCTTCTTGTGTGTTTGATATTGTTAATTTCATGTGGTAGAGCCTTTATATTATGCTATTGTTTTGAGATTAATTTGATCACAAAAGTAGCTTAATTATTCAAAAATTCACCATTAAAGTAACATGAAAATGAACATAGCATAGTTTTCTCTATAGTCTAATAAATATTTACATTTAACATAGTAATAGAGTTGTAGTTAGTATAACAATAGCTTTGACTTAGGCATATAGCAAAATAATTTTTTTAACATAAGCATTTTTCCACAAAAATTCCCATATTCAAGTATGCATAAATTTAGCATAAAATTTAATTCTCAACATGATGTTTGATATGGAATTAACATACTCGACATATAGACTAAAATTCCATAAATCGGGTGAATATCCAACAGACAACTTACTCTCACAATGACATCATCATATTTAGCCTGAAAATCAAACACATATTGAGAATTAAAATACATATTGAATCACTAATGCCAAAATCACAAAGAAATATAAATATTTGATCCAATATGACAATAAGGGAGTTCCCAGCACCTGACATTTCAAGAGAAGCTTTTGTCATTTATATTTCCAAAAATTCTTTTACAATAAGCATATTAACAAAAAAAATATTTTACTTTTATTTTTTTTAGCCTACTTCCTTGATGATGGTTAAAAAAAAGAAAATAAATTGAAAAGTAAAACATTACTAAATGCTAACATAGGAAACATTCAGCAGACATAAACACCTAAAGGTATTTTCAAAACAGAGAGATAGAAAACTGTCCAACAAAGTACTACTTCAATCAACTTTCAATCATCAAAAATGAAAAAATTCAAGAAAAAACAACAACAAAGAGTAATGGAAAATCATCAGCAAATAGAAAGCAAAGCGAAAAAGAAAGAAGAAGAAATTCAGTTGAGGAATTTCATCGAACACTTGGTGTGCGACGGTAAAACGACAATCTTTCCACCATTTTCCAAGCTGTAACTTGGACATAAAATCAACAACAATAATCCATAACACGTGAAACAACTGAACCGAAATCACAAGATAATCAAAATTGAAAAAACTCTGAACAAATTGAAGCTGAGCTTACCGTAAATTTTTCTTCTTCAATTGCTTTTTCTTGTTCTTTGAAATGCATCAATGATCTTCAACCTTAAACACACGATGTCCACCGTCAATCACAACATCATCATGATGCGTCCTACGTCACACCTTCAGAGGATCTGCGCCCTTCTCCTCTACGTTATGTCGTGTGTACCAAATCAGTTGGGTCATTGATGTCCTTGACAGCTTCAATAAGGCGAGCTATAGATTGATCTCAAAGTTGAAACAACCACATGAAAAACATGATGTTAGCTAAATATTTAACAATATCAAACAAAGAAAAAAATATCATATAATCAAAGCAAGTATAGATGAGACAAATGTCAATAGATGATGAAAAAGAAGAACGTATCAGTAACACGAAGATATCGTCAATGGAAAAAGGAATAGGAACGAGTAATAAAAAGAATGGAATGTGCGAAACTTACATTCACGAGTAATAAAAAGAATGGAATGTGCGAAACTTACATTCATGAAAAAGATGGATGATGAACCTGTGAGAGTTTGTCTTGGAATGGAACATGTTTGTCTGATATGCAGAGAAATTTAAAATATTAATGTTTCAATTGATTACCAATATGGGAAGTTGTGAGACTTCCATTTTCCAAGTAATTAATTTTAATGTGTATTATGTTTCCCACGTATTTGAAGTCTAATAGACTTATAAATTAGACACTAAAAAAAAATAGTAAGAAAAGATGGTAGAGTGACACATATGCATTAAATATCAAATGCATATAATTGAAGGAATGATGTAATTAGTTATTTTTAACCCTGAATATAGAAAAATTTAAACTTTGAATCAGAAGGGTAATAGTGGCTTTTTCAGACACTTCTCTTTTAATATATAGATAATAGACTTAAAGTAACACTTCCTTTCCTTTTTAGTCATCATGGTTGTTATAATTACTACACTTTTATGTAATCTAAAAAGGGTGTGTATCTCACTTCCTTTACTTTAACTACTTTCACTTTAATCATCATTTTTATATTTCATTACATCAAAAGCATTCATTAGTTTAAGCAAAAGCACCTTAAGATATATATGCTCTCATGAATGCATAATGTGTACTATAATAGCAACTAGAAAACACATTCATTGATAAGAATTTCAAACAAATATCACTAGACAAGAAAGTTATATGATCATACACAATGAACAAAATTGAAACTTTAACTTAAACATGATGATACATATAACACATTCAACCATTCCAATTTAAAATTCTTCAAATAAAAGCATCAACATAAGACTTTATATGTGAAAAAGAACTATATGTGTGTGGTCGAGGGAGAACATAATGTTGCACTCTTTTTTCTCATTAAAATTTTTATTCTAATAATTTTTTCTTAATAAAGTTTTTAGCGAGGAGAGTGTTATAATAAATTTAAAATCAATAGAGCATCGTGATAAATATTTCAAAAAGAGTGTGTTATAATAAATACAAAAATTATTATTATTATTTTGAGATATATATCTAAAATATCATATTAAAATACTAATATGAATTATTTATCAAAGTGTCAACTTAAAATAATAATGTTATATTTAGAATATTAACTTAGAATAATAATGTAAATTATCATATATTGTAATTTTAAATAGTATAAATATCTTTGATTCATGTAGTTATCATATTATTTTTTATTAGTTTAACTGCATTTTTATTCCTTTAAATTGGTGTATTTTTTATTTTGATCTTTATAATTTTTTTTGTCTAAGTCTCTATATCTTATTTTTTTCGTTCATTTTAATCCTAAAACCAAAATTTGCAAAATTTTTATTTGCATTTTTGACTTTAAAACTAAAACGAACGCAAAAAATAAGATATAAAAATTAAAAAAAAAATATATAGATTAAAATAAAAAATTTGCCAACTTATAGAGCTCATCAGACTAAGTCTTTTTTATCTCTTTATTTTGTTAGTTTCAGTTTTTGAATAATATAAATATATTAAACATTTTCAGAAAATAAATCAATAATAACAATTTTCTTTTTTATAAAAAAAACAAGGCTCGTAGTACGAATGAACCACATCACACGCATGGAGATTCATCTCTATCTTTAGCTGCGTTTGGAACCCTAATTTCCAGAATATCTCAAATCTCAGAATCCCTTTCCCTCCGCATTCTCTATCAGGTAATTCATATCATATCATTGCACCGCCACTTAATTTCTCTCTGTTTTGTTCATATCCGATGCGTTTGTCAATTCATAGATGTTAATCTCTTTTTCATTCAATTTTCTCCTTTAATTTGATGGGAATTTCAATTTCTGATGATATTCTCTGTTATTACCTCAAATCATAGCGTTTATTTCATCGTTTTTTAAATATGATTTGTTATGGATTTTTTGTGGTTCCATTCAACAGGTTTAAGATTATCTGTGAAATGGCATCAGTGTCTACTCAGCCACAGTTCCGGTACACGCAGCCACCGTCGAAGGTGCTTCATTTGAGAAACTTGCCGTGGGAGTGTATAGAAGAGGAGCTGATTGAACTTGGGAAGCCATTTGGTAAAGTTGTCAACACTAAGTGCAATGTTGGAGCGAATCGAAATCAAGCTTTTATTGAATTTGTAAGTACAACTTGTTCACATTCTTCCGGTATTGTGTTTTTTTAATTTCTAATGGAGCTCTACTGATTTTAGTTGTAAATCATATATTGTAACCTGCAGGCGGATATAAATCAAGCCATTGCGATGATATCGTATTATGCATCATCATCAGAGCCTGCTCAAGTGCGGGGGAAAACCGTGTATTTGCAGTATTCCAATAGACAAGAAATAGTGAATAATAAAACTGCTGCAGATGTTGCTGGAAATGTACTGTTGGTAACAATTGAGGGAGAAGATGCACGTCTTGTGAGCATAGATGTTTTGCACTTGGTAAGCAATTGCGTTTGTGCCTATGCTATATCTGATAAAATGTTATCATGTGGATGTTAGTCTTTTAGTTTTGTGATTAGGTTTTGCTTTGTCAGGCTATGGAAATTGTTTTGACTTGTATGTAAATAATCAGCAGGCCCATATCAAGGCAATATCTTCGATGGCAGCCTAGTGCTTTTGGAGAAAGAGCTTGTGGGTGTTTGTTTCCTTTCTCCTTTCCTTAGCACTGCCTCCTCCCTATTCTCTCCCTTAGCTCCTACATTGTTGTAGTTTAGGTTTTACCATTCTTTTTTTCATTTGTGCAAATTGACTTGCGAAGCAATTTTCTTCATAAAGCATTTGTTTGAATTTCAGTAACAAAGTGAATAATGCCACTCACAACTTTTGAAATCTTTAATATAATAATTATTCTAGTTATATGTTTGAAGTTGTTATTATTATAAGAGTGCCATTATCAAAATTAAATCACCCGCATCCCCCGGGGCCTGCCCCCAATTTTCTGTAGCTAATGCTAGCACTATTTTTTTTAATCATTAGGAATCAAACTTGGTACCCCAGCGTTTGCAACACTCACACCCTATACATCAACCACTTGACCCCGGTGGTAATGCTAGCACTATTAAAGTGATTGTTGTGACAGTTTCTTCATGTTCCATATACCCACAATCTTTGCTTACAATAATCTAGTTCATCATTCAACAAAATTTGTGACAAAAATAGTAATACATTAACTTTTCGTGATATATTGATTAGCTCAAACATGCCATTCGGTAGGATTCCCTGAACAGCTAAACAGTAATACTAAAATAGTGTTTAAAAACAAGTGAGTTGTGTAAAAAGAACAAGCGGACAAATACTATGGAACGAAAAGAAAAAGTAAAACTGTATTAAGTTAACAGCTAACACTGAAAACATGAGATCTCTATTAACCAGAACCTATAACTCCTCTTAAAATTATGTCCTAAACTACGTAAAAAACTCTTTTGCTTACCCTCCTTTCTATTCTTTCATTCCCTCTGACCAACTTACTGCCAGCTCATCCTTCACTTGCTCATAATCATATTGGCCCCTTTCATTCCCTCAATATTTTTGCCTCTACCATACATTGGCCCATATCTTACAACACTAATTGGTTCTGATGTAAATCCAATCTTAGTACTTCTACCATTGCCCTACTGTGAAAGCTCTGCCTTGTCCTAAGGCTGAATTCTTGAATTTTTCCTTGTAGAGAAGATTTACCCTCCCAAGCAGTATCTTGATTAACATTTCCTTTTCACATAAGCAGCCATTGCCTAATAGGAAAATTATCCCTGGATTTGAGTGATCACAAGTACAGAAAAAGGGGTAAGAAGTGAATTACCTGACCCTCTTGTGAAAGAGGGTATTTATAGAGAGACCCCAGCGCTGGGCCAACGGTCACTTGTGTTGGGCTGGATTGCCAGGCCCAACCCAGGTGACTGTTAGGACTTACGTGGCGTAGTGAAGACCAGAACGGGGTCTTCGCCCTAGTTCAACTGTCCTGTGATCTCCGGAAAGTGGGTTTGACGTGCTCTTTTGGAGGTGGGCAGTTGGTTAGTGACGTGTCCCCGCGGAGGGGGGCACGTAGAGAACGTGCGCATGGCACGTTGCTCTCCCCGCGGAGGAGAGCTCGCGAGGTTCCCCGGAGGCGTATTGTTCTCCCCGCGGAGGGGAGCACCCGAGGGCGTGGGAGAGGCGCGTTGTCCTGCTCGGCGGTAGGGGGATTCTGCCCGCGGAGGGCTGTTCTGCCCGACGAGGGGCAGTGATTGGCAGCGCCTTCCCGCAAAGGGGAGAGCGCAGGGGGCGTCCTGAGGCACGCTGTTGTCCTCGGCGGGAGCATGCCCTGCTCGTCGAGGGGTCACGTGCCCGGCCGTCCTACTCAAACCATATTGGGCCTTTATTGTGTATCATTGGGCTGGGCCGCGAGTTGAGGCCGGGGCCCAGGCCAGAACACTAGATTTTCATCTATGCACATAGTTTTTGATTTCCAATATTGTGAATTCCTCATTACGATTCTTTGCTTTGTTCTCCTTAGCACAAGCAAGCAAAAAGTTATTTCTTCAGGCATCGGTAAAATGGATGCACCTTCTCTCCACATCAGAAATGAGAGACACTGTTCCGGACTGACCCAATGACTAGGCATGATCCAATCCACTTCTGTTCCCAAAACGACCCAATTGTCTAAGTCCACCAAATTTGGTGGGAACATTCCTTTCTGCCCCTCCAACAGAGGAGGCTGACCAATTTACCTTTGGTCACAACACTTCTGCTCGACAGTCCTTGTCCGTCACGCACGGTTCTCCTATCCAGAAACAGGCAAGACGCCTGTGCCCGTAACTGCGCCATGTCCGTAGCAATGGCTAGTTATGGGCACCTCTGCCCATTCCAACGGTTAGTTCTGACAGTTACTTATTCTTTGGAAAACAGTTATCTCGCCTCAAAAATAGGGACCAATGGCCAAACGCTGGGGGCACTATAAAAACCCTCTCACTTGAGAGGGTCAAATATCCAATATTCACCCTGACATACTCATATTTTGTACTTGCTCTTTCTCTTGCCCGATTATTACTTTAGCATCGGAGTGTCTTGCAGGTACACCCCCATCCTTCTCTCTCACACCCAGCACCACAGGTGTTTGTCTCTGGCCCACTTCAGGTTCTGATCAGTCGTCAAGATCAGACACCAACATTGGGTTTACGCTAAGGCGAAGCAGTGTCTGACCCATAAGTGACAAACCTGAGTGTATTTGGCAATGTCCCCAACTAGAACTTTATTTGTTTTCCCATGGGCATAGCTCATTTTAACTCAAGCTTTTATGGATCCACCTTTTCTCCACAACAAAAATGAGAGACACGGATGTTGAGTTTACAGTTTACATTAGGGCTAAGCAGTGGCTGATCCATAAGTGTGACAAACCTGAGTGTATTTGGGTATGCCTCCAACCGAAACCTGAATTTTCTCTGTTTCCCTACAAGTGCAACTCTTTTTTAGCTCAAGCCTTTCTGGCCTACTTCCAACAATTTGTTCCCCCTTTCTTTGAAATCAAAAGGATAACTATCGGCCAAGCTCCTACTTCCTTTCATTCATCTCCTCTTGATATCTCTGACTAGCTGTATGAACTGAAACTGAGAGCTCAGGTGTAGCATTTGCCCTCGCTGACTGATGAATGATTGTAAGCCACTCATGATATACCCAGTGCACTGCACTTCATGTAACCTTGGAACTTGAGACGGAAGTTGGCTAAAGTCTTCCAATGTACACCACTATGTTGGTTTGTCAAATAGATGCAAGCTCCTCAAATGAGTTGAAACTTCCAATGACCATAATGATCACTCAACTCTAACTTTAACTTCTCCCATTTCAAATGCCAAATGGTCCTTGGTCTCTCGTAGAAGATTAACGTGTTTGACTAAGATTATCCATTGCAATTAGGAATCTTTAGTTTAAAAAAAGTGCCTTGTGTCGTCCTTCCATGCTGTGCTTGGTTAATTTTAGCTTCACTTCCTTGGATTGTAGGGTGCTTTGTACTTCAAAATAAACTTCAGTTTTGGTGATCCATCTATACAATTATAATTATGTGCCGTCAAACATGGGTGGCTCAACTTTCTTGCTGAAATTAGATACTCCTCTGCATTTCCTCCTTTTATTGTTTCATTCTCTCAAGCTCATCCTTCACTTACTCATTACCTTACTATCCATTTTGTTTTCCCTAGAGTTGGCTTTGCATATTTTTGGCCTACCAACAGCATTAATAGGTTCTGCATCCTCGTGGCCTCTAGCAGATACAGTGACATTTTTGTCCAATCATGATTGCGTATTAATTTTGGTTGCCCAAAATGATGTTTGATAGTTGATGTAAGTTGGGAACTGTTTTACTTATTTTGAATTTTTAGATTTGTGACTGTTTTCATCTTTTATGCAGGTTTTTCATAATTTTAGATTACTAGATTTGAAATTCTAGATTTGTTAATTTTTGAAACTGAAAGTTTATCATTCACAAATGCAGGTTTTTTCGGCCTTTGGATTTGTGCATAAGATTACTACTTTTGAGAAAACAGCCGGATTTCAGGTTTGATAATTAGCCACCCTTAATCTAATTTGGATTTATTTTCTATGCTATGGAGAAAAGCTTATTCTATACACAATTGTTTAGGCACTGGTGCAATTCTCAGATGCTGAAACTGCCACTTCTGCAAAGGATGCTTTGGATGGAAGAAGCATACCTAGGTGACAGTTGTATTACATGTTTGGCATGGTATTTAGTTCAAACTGTGTTGAATGTACAACTATTAACGTGGTGCATGTCTTTGTTTACAGTTAGACAGTTGTAAACAGTAACGATTATTGACTTTAGAGTTTAAACACTATTGTTGTGCTTCTTGTAATTGTCTGAATCATTGAATCTGTGAAATATGCTTAACTACATCATTCCAACCCAACCAATTACGAGTGGAAAATTTGTTAAGCTTGACTACAGCATAGTAGTTATTTGCATCTTCATTGGCACTGCTGATAATCTTTATACTTTAAGCATTCTTATTGCTCAATTGTTTGTTTATGATGATTGACCTTTAATTGTTTTCTCTCTCTGCATCAGCTACCTACTCCCTGGGCATGTCGGACCTTGTACCCTTAAGATCACATATTCTGGACATTCAGACTTAAGTGTTAAGTTTCAGAGTCACAGAAGCAGGTATTGCTGATTTCTATGGCTTCTAAGGCATACAGGAACCTATGTTCGTCAATTTATCTTTTCCCTGGTGATTTTTTATTGATTCATTCTCATGGCCATTGACCATTGGTTCTACATCTCACCCTTCATATAGTGCTTTAGCCCTTTTATTTGCATGGCAGTAACCATATTTTTTTTGAAGCATTTAGCTATGTAACTCCTTCTTTTCTTGTTTCAGAGACTACACTAATCCTTACCTTCCTGTTGCTCAATCAGCTATGGAGGGAAACGGACAGGTAGCCTTCTTGATAGTGCAAAATGAAGCCTTCTTAATTGCTTATTTTAACTTGATATGTCCTTCATTCATATACACGTTGTGACGGCCATGTATGCTGCCATCCTGATTCCTTGCGAAGGAGCATGGTTATCTTAATTTTTTGATTTATAGATTTATGATTTTCGCAGTCTGTGATGGGTTTGGATGGGAAAAGACTTGAGGCTGAGAGTAATGTTCTTCTTGCATCAATTGAAAACATGCAGTATGCTGTAACCTTGGATGTCTTGCACACGGTACTTTGAGCTGCAGTTGGCAGTTGTTTTTTTGCAATGATGGACTGAGATCACAGTTTAGCTGATATTATTCTGCCTTTTCTCTGCTATTTGTAACAGGTTTTCTCTACTTTTGGACCCATCCAAAAGATTGCAATGTTTGATAAGAATGGTGGTTTGCAGGCTCTGGTTCAGTACCCAGGTTAGGTTTTTTCAAAACCCTTATTCATCTTTGTTCCGAATCTTCCGATATATTATGTTTCTCTTGTTGATTATTTGAGCATATACCAATGTGCTTCTCGCTGGTAGGATCCTCTACGTTGCTTAGGTTTTAAATTCTTTATACTCGTTTGACCTAATAACTAAAGTTGCTTGAAAAAAGTGGTACTCCACTATGATGGTTTATTTTAGATTGAAATTCGTTAGTTGCTTTTAGCTTCACCTTCATCTTATAAATTTTCCTTTGGGTTTACTCTTAATGATTTCGGGTTTGTCGCTTGCTGGGATCTCCTAAATGTGTACTTGTTCTCGTAAGTTTTGGTATTAAAACTGTGATGGATCTATAAATTTCATGTTTCGGGAGCCTAGCAAAAAAGTATTTAGTTTTTTTTTATAAATATTTTAGAAAATTTGAAGGGATTTATTGCACTTTAGGGGGCAGTAGGCTCCCCTCTTATCTCATTGACTCCATCTTTGAAACAAAAGCTTATGTGCGCATTTGAGTCTGAACAGTGGTGATTTTGGCCTGGTTGATAATCAGAAACATTTTGCTTGTTTTATTTTCTATAATTACAGTTAATGATATTATTGACATCTTAAATTCTATGGACTACAGATGTTCAGACAGCCATTGTGGCCAAGGAAGCCTTGGAAGGACACTGCATTTATGATGGGGGATTTTGTAAGCTCCACCTCTCCTATTCACGTCATACTGATTTGAGTATAAAGGTAACCAGCCTGCACCGTCCATGAAATAAGTATTTGCGTCATTTTAGCATGAGACTAGTGTAACGGCTAAAAGGAAGAGTATAGTGCAATAGAAGATAAGTTTTGCGCAATCATGAAAGTTCCATGAATCATTCCATATAAGCACATCCTGTTTATTTGTAGGATATACTATTTACTGAACTTGAAACTCAAGACTCTAGTTTTGGTCCTATGGTAATATGGTTTTTGTCATGGTGTAGGTGTATCAATATTTACAGAAAATGTTCCCACTAGATCCTTCCCGTCTCAAATTTCTTGGCATAAAAAGACAAATTTCTTGCATGATGTTTCCCTTTTAATTTGGGAGGGAGGTGCACCATCAATTTGCATTGAATATTGTGATACCATCATCTTTCAAAGAATATGATCCATTAGTAGTTGTTAATCACAGAAATATTTAATACTTCTGTAGTGTGTAGTAGTATAGACTATAGAGTTTTGGTTGTCTCAGGATTTGTGTTATTACAGGTCAATAATGACAGGAGCAGAGACTATACCATGCCCACTGCACCTCCACCAGTTATGAACGCCCAGCCCTCAATTTCAGGGCAACAACAAGCTCCAATGACTGGTCCTCCTGCTCAACAGTACAATACCACTCAGTACGCTCCAACGAACAACCAGAATTTTATACCCCAATCTCAGGCTGGATGGGGAGCAGCTCCACCACCACAACACGCAATGCAGCGGATGCATCATAATCCTTACATGCCACCTGGTACGATGCCCCCACAAGCTGGCCCTGGAATGATGCAGTATCCTGGTCACTATCAATAGCCTTGCTCTTTCGTTTCAAATAAACGAAAAAAAATTGGCAAACGTTTGACACATTGGCAGAAAAGAAGACTGTCATAAAAACTATGTGTTCTTATATTTGATTATCTCTGTTTGTTTCCACTTTCCACCGTATTGAATTTTGAATTTTTGGATGTAACTAATTTTTTAAGAACTTTAACTTGGCTGGTAGTGTTTGAAGAAACTACTCAAATTCCTTTTATTTATGTCTTCATTACTTTTCAAACTACTCAAATTCCTTTTATTTATGTCTTCATTATTTCTATTGACAGATTGTAAAAAAAAAAGTATACTAGCTTGTAATTGTGTTTCTATAAAACATAGCCTAAAGCTTAAATTTTCATAGTATGCAAAAATTAATCCACATATTCTAGAGTTCTGACCCTTAATAAACTTTGTACTAATTTAACTATCTCATTACTTAATTTATTAAAATTGTGTTATCATAGTTAGCGTCTAATAATCATTGGAAATTAAAATTCAAAGGTTTTTGAAATCTTGATGGAACAAGTGGTGGATTTAAAGGTGGGAGTGACGAACAATGTCTGCAAAAAAAAGAGAGGAAATAAAGGTTTTTGAAACACTTGTACTTTTGTTGTTTGAGAAAAGCAATACTGATACTTGAGATAATGTTGAAGCACTCGAAGTAAGGGAAGTAGGAAAAACTGAATTATGGGAACGCTACTATTTCGTAAATGTATTACTTGGTTTATACACCCACATGAGTCATACTAACTAACAAACGGTATAACTAATTGATACTTGTGATAGTTACAACATCTTGCTTGAGTTACAGCTACAACATCGTGCTTGAGTTACAGCAACGCATTCGGACCATAGTCCGATTCTGCTCCAGTGTGAAGTTAGATATCAAATGCAACAAACAGGTTTGAGAGCCACTGGTTGGAAGAAGAACGCATTCAGAATGTTGTTCAAACCGGTTGATCGCAAGGGAATAACGAAGATATTGTAAAGCAGATTGATAACTGTGCTGCAGAATTACAAAGGTGGGACAAAATACAGTTCAGGAAGCGTAGAGAAGAGTTTAAGAGGTTGAAGGATTTGATGGAGAGAAGTCGACGACATCAAGATATGAAATCTATGGCACTTTTCATTGAAGCTAAAAAAGAATACAACACTCATTAAAGAGGATGCTTATTGGAAACAACACGCGAAAATGCACTGGTTACGCGACAGAGACCTTAATACCAAGTTTTTTCATATGTTGGCCACGGTTAGTAAGAAATTCCAAAAAATTACTATGTTGCAACAGGATGAAGGGATAGAAGTGACAGATCAGGCTGGTATATGCAACATTGCGAGAAGTTATTTCAAGGAGCTGTTTGCTGTTAAAGCTAGTAATAACAGAGGAAGTTAACAGTAGGCTGACAACCCCTTTGCTTATAGAGGAATTATATAATGCCTTGAGGAATATGCATCCTAATAAATCGATGGGTCCGGACGGTTTTAATCCTGTGTTTTATCAGAATTTCTAGGACTTGTGTGGAAGAGATATTTTTGAAGCAACAAAGAGTTGGTTGGATAAAAGTTTTTTTTCCGCTGGCTCTTAATGATACGAATGTATGTTTGATTCCTAAGATTCGAATCCTCACAATATGAAGGATTTCCGCCCTGTCTCCTTATGTAATGTGATCTATAAATTTGTGTCTAAAGCATTTGCTATGACTTTGGATATATGTGTACCGGAGGAACAATCGGCTTTTGTGGATGGTCGTTCTATCCTCGATAACGGGATGATTGTTATAGAGGTTATACATGCTCTTAAGAGAAATACTAAAGGCAGGAAGGCTCATTTGGCTCTTAAGGTGGACATCTGTAAGGTGTATGATAGAGTGGGTTGAGGTTTTCTCTGTGGTATACTGTGTAGAATGGGATTTGCTGAAAGGTGGATTCACGGGAGATGTGTGTTTCCTCGGTGCATTATATTGTTCTTGTCAATTTGGATAAAGTTGGACCGATTGAACCAGAGTGTGGATTGAGGCAAGAGGACCCTCTCTCTCCTTACCTATTTATTCTTGTGTCATAAGATCTTACGACTCTTATTAGGGGAGCAGTGGCTAGAGGCGACATACATGTGATCCAAATTTGTAGAGGGGCACCCACTGTGTCCCACCTTTTTTTTGTTGACGATTGTTTTGCAGGGCTAACCTCACTGAAGTTAAACGTCTTATGAAATTGCTTAGTACTTATGTTGAGGCCTCGAGGCAGGAGATTAATTTGAATAAGTCTTAGGTGTTTTTTTAGCAGAAATATAAGCAACTCGGCCAAGGAAGATCTTGTCAGCATTATGGGAGTTCGTCATGTGTTGGGAACTAGAAATTATTTAGGTTTGTCCTCTATGATCGGTAGAAGTAAGAAGACAACTTCCTCTTATATTAAAGATCACATTTGGAATAAAATTAATTCCTGGAGAGATAGAGCTTTATCAAAAGCAGAGAGGGAGGATGATTAAATCAGTGCTCCAAGCTATTATGTCCTACGTTATGAGCCTATTTGTCCTCCCAGATGAAATCTGTAATGATATTGAGAAGTTGTTGAATTCCTTTTGGTGGGGGTGGAGGGAGCAATAATAAGGGTATTCACTGGATGGCCTAGGATAAGTTGGCGTGTCTGAAAAAGGAAGGAGGATTGGATTTTAGAGATTTTTGAGCTTTTAATATGGCTATGGTTGCTAAGTAAGGATGGAACATGGTGTCCAAGCCTCAAGCTCTTGTGTCCAGAATCTTCAAAGCAAGGTACTTCCCTAGAACATGTTTCTTCGAAGCTAATATTGGATATAATCCTAGTTTTGTATGGAGGACTATTTGAAAGTCGAAGGATGTCTTATTAGTGGGATGCAGGTGGAACATTGAGGATAGTAGTTACATCAGGGTTATGCATGAGTCTTAGATCAGGGGAAAGAGGGATGTGCGTATGAGTGGTCCCCAAAAACAAGGTGCATACGACATTACTGTTAGAAATCTTATGCTACCTAATGTGAAACAGTGGGATGTACGTATTATTAGAGATCTGTTTAATTATGCAGAGACTAAGGATATATTACAGGTACCTCTTATGAAGGAGGTGAAAGAGGATAAGATGATTTGGAAGGAAGAACAAAATGGAGTCTATAGTGTGCATTTTGGCTATAGGTTATGGAGAAGTCTTCAGAGGAGGATTGAAATAGTCTCTGAAATATTAGAGCACCATCGAGGGTTAAGCATCTCATGTGGTAAATTTGTAAGGATTGCTTACTGACGTGGTCTAGACTCCGTCAACACCATGTTCAGTGTCCCGCTACTTGTCAGTTTTGTGAAAATAATCTTTATGATTGACATTTGTTTTTTTGGTTGTAACGAGATTAACCATGTTGGAGGGCAGCGTGTTTGTCTTCTCTTATAGATGCCCGATTACATTCTCTTCATGATGTTAAATATCTTATTTGCGACATCTGTAGTGAGGAGGATAGGAAAGTAGCTGGTAGATTTGCTTTTATGCTTGACAAAGTTTGGAAGAACAAGAATAATCTCATTTGGAACAATGAACAAGAGGCAGCTCCGAAATTGGGATGGTTAATTTTTCACAAGTGGCAGGAATGGTATATGGCCCAGGAAAGTCGTGAGCCCATAGGCAACCAAGAGTATCCTTCTTCTTGGAATCCGCCTAGGGAAGGTTGGTTGAAGTGTAATGTAGACGTGGCTTTTAATAATCCGAGAGGTACTTCTAATAGGGGTTGGTGTTTGTGTGATCATAATAAGATGTTTATTACATCGGGTGTGGTTTGACTCCCGTAACTATGTCTGTTATTGAAGCTAAAGCCATGACTCTCAAAGAAGCAATTCAGGAGTCCATTGTCTTGCAGCTTGTTATTGAAGCTGAAGCCATGACTCTCAAAGAAGCAATTCAGGAGTCCATTGTCTTGCAACTGGATAATGTGGTTTTCGAATGTGATTCTCAGAAAGTTGTTCAAGCCATTCAATCTAGTTATAAAGACAATTCATAGTTTTATGTCATTCTTGATTCTATAAAAACTTTGTTAGCTGTGTACCCAAACTTTGAGATAAAATTTATTAGGCGTCAAGCGAATATGATTGTCCATTCTATTGCTAGGACGGCCAATTCATGACCTAGACGTAATTTATTTAATTTCGCTTCTCTTTATATTGAATAATTCCTAATTAATGAAATGCGTTAAAGATTGTTTTGATTAAAAAAGAAGTACCTAAGCTTTTCAAAACAACATGGCCTCAATGACTTGGTTTTTATGTCCGTTGTTTTCACTTAAAAGACAATAAGTTTGAGTCTGTCTTTACTTATTTGATCTCTTACAATGACATACAAGCTTTTGGCAAGATAGATTGCCAATACATAATCAATCAATAATAATACCAGTCTTGATTTGTTAGTATCTTTAAAAATCATAGAATACAATTGAGATATTGATATTTATTATAATTGATTTGTTAGTATCTTTAAAAATTATAATAGAATTGCATTCTTATTTAGATAATTGTTATCACGTATATAAATAGTTGTTTTTAGCCTTTTCAATAATACAAAAAAATGTTCATATTTAATATGATATTTAGAGCCAATTTTTTTTGGTACAACTAATTTTAATTATTTTTTTGTTTGAGTCATTTAGTCATGAGCAAGCCGTAAGCTACCATTGATTTGATCATGTAGTTCGTAATCTGTTTCTTATCTATAATTTGTCAACTCAAAATACCTCATAATATTACTCTTGATAATGGTTCTAAGACATAAGTTAGAGGTATTGGTCAAACTTCACTCCTACCATCTCCATAATTGAATTGTCATTTGTACCAAGTTGTCCATCTAATTGTAATACAGGAAAAACGATTGAAACAAGATCTGAATCCCATGGGTTATGTTACCTTCATTGTCATCCATCCACCATTTGTGGAGTTTCTACATCTTTATGTAGCATTCATCTTTGTTTGGGTCATTAAAGGTGTTGG